CACACACACACACAGTTTCACATCTTGCTTTTTTCATTTCACTTTCTATAGTATTTCCCCATGTTATTAAAAATCCTTAGTTGATATCCTTTTAAATAACTGCCTAGCACATGCATTGATCAATTACTCTTTGCAAAAACACCATCAATTTGTGCTTTGGAAGAACTATCATGGGGAAAGGGGACTGAGTTGAGAACCCAAATGCCAACCTTCCTCACTGTTCTTATTTGTTGCATTTTGAAGTCAGGCCAGAGGTTTAGCATCCTTCTAATCTCTGCTCCAGCTTGGGGAAAATAAAAACCTGTGCTGAGGATGCAGTGGGAGGAATGTCTCTGATTTTGTGTGTGTGTGTGGGAGCCTGTGCATTGATTTGTGCTACAAACCCATGAAGCAAAACACCAAAATTTCCAATTATTAGAGGCATTTTAAGAGCAGCCATCGAGTGCCTGAGCACTTCCTGAAATTATAGAGAGCGGGCCCTCAGCTGTACCTTAAATTTCCTACCTTAACTGGAATGATGAATCCTTAGGAAGCCCTGTAGGGCCATTATTAGAATCATCTCTCCCTTTAGAGTGTCCTTTTTCTTTTGTTTTGATGAGGAAGATTGGCTGTGAGCTAACATCTGTGCCCATCTTCCTCTATTTTTTTGTATGTGGGACACCACCTCAGCTTGATGAGTGGTGCATAGGTTTGCACCTGGAATCCAAACCTGTGAACCCCAGGCTGCCGAAGTGGAGTGCGTGAGCTTAACCACTACGTCACTGGGCCAGCCCCGAGCGTGTCCTTTTTGTGTGTGTGTGTGAGGAAGATCAGCCCTGCGCTAACATCTGATGCCACTCTTTTTTTTTTTTTTTTTTGCTGAGGAAGATTGGCCCTGGGCTAACATCCATGCCCATCTTCCTCTACTTTATACAGGACGCCACCAGAGCACGGCTTGAGAAGCCGTGCGTCGGTGCGCCGGGGATCTGAACCCGTGAACCCTGGGCCGCCGAAGTGGAGCACGCACACTTAACCGCTGCGCCAGTGGGCCAGCCCCATAGCGTGTCCTTTTTTTAATTAAAAAAAAAAAAATCTCACAACCGCAAAGTTCCAGAAGTATTTTGTAACTGCCATGGTAGGATTCCACCCCCCCGCTACTTAATTACAGTGCACGTTAGGTTAGACTATCCCTACACCTCACGTGAATAAGTTCCAGTCATTTAATTCCGTTAACCTTTAGGGAATGAGTAGGCATTGCAGATCACAAATCAAGTCATACAATTTGTTTCTCAGGTTTATTTTCTTTGTGAGAAGAGCGTCTGCTCTCTTGGGTTCAAGCACTGTTTTGATCATTTAATGAAACGATGCTACTTGTCCCTCATCCTTCCTGTTGTGGGTACCATCTCTGTTTTAGATTCATGAGACTCCAGCTGCATCCGAGGTAGGCCAAAATCTATACTTTGAAGTACACTCTCTACCATGCTAAGCAAAGGACGACGCCTTGACAATGAATTGCTGTATCTTTATTCTCCTGATTTTCCAAGCTAATGCCACATACTGGATTTGGATGGACCTCTGCCCTTGAATGTGAATGAATGGCACTCAAGTCTTCTTGGAGCCAGCTTTTTTCCTTTCCTTTTTAAAAAGATTTATTAAATTTTCATGAAAAAGAACGTGCTTCCACTCAGAGGCAGAAAAATCTAGGCCTGTTGCTCCTCATGCCTGATAGGAGCCACAGCATCTTATAAAACGGCCATTTCTCTCTGCCACAGGGCAATCCACACGCCGGCCCACAGATAACAGGCCTGGTCCCTGGGAGATGAGGACTTGTCTGGGGAAATGATGGCATGGTGTTTTGGCCTGTGTCTTCTGTTTAAAAAGAGAAGCCAAACTTCATATTTATAGATGAATGAATAATGCATAATAATGAATAATATTGGTTAATGCAGAACAGCAACCTTGGAAAAACAGAAAGAGACAAAGGAGTTGAGATTCAAGGTTATATCCAAGGAGGAAAGGAAATGGGACTTTTGCTTTTCTTTCCCATCCTCCTAGTATGTGTCTACTTAAAAAACATAATTTCATTGGGTCTTTTTGGTTTCTCAAGTAGAACAGGGAAGGGGCTGCGTGCCGTGAGACCCCTTGCTCACTGCCCCACCTCCAGCGCGAGCCTTTTGGAGTGCGCGGCGGAGCTGGTCACATTCCAGATCCCCTCTCCAGGCAGCCAGGCCGCCGCTCTTGTTTGTCTGCGAGTCTGGGAGGCCCAGGCATCTTGTTAGCGCTACGTGGCGAGAGGGCTTGGGGAGTCTCTCAGCTCAGGCCTCTGGGAAGTTCTTCCTGCTTAGAAAAGAGGTTTTGTTTGACTCCTTTTTTGGCCTCCGAGGCACCAAAGAGAGTGATTAATAGGGAACCACCTCGAGATTTCAATAGAGCAGCAGCGTGAGCTCCGGGCCGGCCAGGCCTTTGTTCAGCGATAAAGCAGGAGGGGCTGGTGGCTGGGAACCCAGGCCTCGGGCCTGCCCGGTCTTGTCTTTGCCAGGACAACCTCTCGACCTGAGCTGGTCTGGGCAGATTAGCAGGAGCTTTCTCCGCCGGGGTGGGTGGGCAATGGGGGCAGCTGGGCCTTGAAAGGCACTCAGGCTGGGGCTGGGGGCTGGAGACCCTGGTTTTTTGCTGTGAAATCTTGCAGACGCAGGAGACAAGGCTGGGGAGGGGTAGGCTTCTGGGGAAGCCAGGAGGGCTCCCCACTGGAGGTGCCAAAGCAGGCCAGTGAACAGGGCCACCGCACTCGGCCAGCCTTGGCTAAGCGGGCTCCTACGACAAGAGAAGCCAGGGCAAGCTTGGAAAGTGAGAGAAAGGTGACAAGGCACAGCAGAGTTGAGACAGAAAGGAAAGCACCAGGCAGCAGGCCCGGGTCTGGACACCATCCCCGGTGTGGATCCCACTGTGGCTCGATGCTTCGTCAGGCTGTATTTGTCCCTGAGGCTGAATGGGGGGATCAGAAGGTTGTTCTGGTCACCCTGGAATGAGGACAAATGAGGACTTCCTCAGAGCTCGGGCCTCTTTCCTTCATTCCTTTAACAACTGCCTAGCGCCTGCTAGGACAGCAGCATCCTGTGCAAATTCAAGTCAGGCGCCCGGAAGCATCTGGGGAGCCTCTGCCAGGCTCTGAATATGTTAGGAGGCACCATACAGAGGCAAATAACACCCCGGCCAATGGCCATTTCACCTGAGCACGTCAGTGTCTCCTGACAAGTTGTCAGAGGCATTAGAGCTGGTGGTTGGTGTGGGGGAGTGTCTTAGTCAGCTAGCTGCTGTGACAAGGATACCCCAGACTGGGCGGCCTAAACGACGAACATTCATGTCTCACAGTTCTGGAGGCTGGGAAGTCCAAGATCAAGGTGCTGGCAGATTAGATGTCTGGGGAGGGCCCTCTTCCTGGTTTGCAGACGGCTGCCTTCCCTCTGTGTCTTTACATGGTGGAAGGAGGGAGGGGGCGAGAGAGAGATCACTCCCGTGTCTCTTCCTACAAGGCCACAAATCCCATTCATGAGGGCTTCACCCTCAGGACCTAATCACCTCCCAAAGGCCCCACCTCCTAACACCATCACATTGGGGTCCGGGGTTTCAATGTACGAACTTTGGAGGGACACATTCAGTCTGTAGCAGGGAGTAAGGCTCTGCTCCTGATAAGCCATGTGGCCTTGTGCACGGGGCGCGGCCTCTCTCTGCTTTGGTGAGCTCATCTGTAAAGTGGGGTTTTTTTGTGGCTGAATTGTGTCCCCTCCAAATCCATATGTTGAAGTCCTAACCCCTACTACCTCAGACTGTGACCTTATTTGGATCTAGGGCCTTTACAGAGATGATTACAGTAAGATGAGGTCAGTAGGGTGGGCCTGATCCAATAGAACTGGGGTCCTTATAAGAAGAGGAGATGAGGACACAGACATGCACAGAGGGAAGACCATGTGAGGACACAGGGGGAAGAGGGCTGCCTACAAGCCAAGGGGAGAGGCGTCAGGAGAAACCAAACCTACTGACACGTTGGTCTCCGACTTCAGCCTCCGGAACCGTGAGAACTAAACGTCTGTTGATGAAGCTGCACAGTCTGTGGTATTTGTTATGGCGGCCCGAGCAGACTGAGACAGGGTTGATGACAGCACCTGCTTCCCAGGGCTGTCTGAGGATTAAGTGACTGAATAGCTGGAAAGCAACTGGAGCCAGCATGTGGGAAGCCTCAAAGGGCCTCGGCCATGACAAAATGCCAGCCGCCATGCCACTCCCACCTTGCTCAACTCCAGGCGGGGCTGCAGACACAGAATCCAACGTCAGCTGTCCCTCGGCCCCATCCCCCAGTACACAGCCCTGGTTAATGGCTTTACGTGGCAAACTAATCAGGACGCAAGAATCTCCCACCAAATGCCCCTTCAAATTGGATGTCAGATCTTTCCCGAACCACTTGGGGAATGACGGAGATTCTGGAAAAGGCAGCCAGGAGAAGAGAGGGCTTTTTCCACTCCAGATGCTGTGGGAGAGCATTTGCTGTGGGTGGCGGGGAATGGTTTGGCCATTAGGCTTCCGGGCTGCCACAAGAGGAGAGCAGGGCCAGCCTCATCATCGACTGAGGAAGTAGAGCTGTGGATCAAAAATTCCACCCCAAATTCCACTTACATCCAGATCTCAGTCATGTAGGCAGATCCATCTCGGCAGTGTTTAGACCACTTTGAGTGGGGTTTCCCTGTACTCAACAGGCTGAACTTGCATCCTGATTAGTTTGCCATGTAAAGTGGGACAATGCAATGACATCCCATCCCCTTTGCCAAATTCTTTCGGTTAGATGCACGTCACAGTCCTGCCCACACTCAAGAGGAGATGATACACGGCATGATTGACTGGCGGTCACCTTAAGGTGTGTCTAAGTGGAACCCAGGTTAAGACACTGAACATTGCCTACTGTCCCAGAAGTCTAGCTTACCCACCTCAGATCCACTTGGAAGGAAGACCAGTGGTGAGCTGGAGCCAGTTCATGAGAGCTGATGGTTAAATATTTAGGAATTCTGTGAGCTGGCAGTTAAACATAGACAATATCAAAAATTAAATGACATAAACTTACAGTGAAATCAGTTCTATTGAAAACAAAGCCTCAAAATTCCTTACTTCCTAATGATTTTACCTTGACCTATGCTCAAGGTTACTTATATCGATTGTATCTGGATGCTGGAAATACTCTTCCCAACTCTGTGTTCAGATACTTTGTCTTGGTTCAGACACTCCATGTTGGTAGCTTGAAATCGGCCATCAGAGAAATATTTACACTGTGGAAATCTGAAAATGCTACAATTCAGAGCTTGAGGGCCAAACCTGGCCCTTGCTCAAGCTAAGAATGGTTTTTCCATTTTAAAAGGTTTGTAAAGAATAAAACAAAACAAAGAATATGTGCCAGAGACCACATGTGTTCAGCAAAGCCTAAAATATTTACTATTTGGCCCTTTGTAGAAAACATTTGCCAAGGCCTCATCTAGACTTAAGAAAGCAATGGAGAAAAATAACAATGCAGTTAAACTTAAAATTTTTGGTGTCTGGTCTTTAGCCATTACACTGTGAATAGCACAAAATACTGATGAAATATTCATCCAACATTGGGAGACGAGGATCCAACACAGCAAAGAAGCTGCTCACATCACTGATGAATAAACATCTGTCTTTTTGGCTTCGTTTCTGTCTTACTCATTAATGTAATATCAACCAACATTCACATTACATATTCCATTTAATGACAGTATTTAGTGGGAAACTAGTTAGTGGCTTAGGGGGCATTATACCAGTAAAATTTGCAGTAAATGTATGTATATATGCCCCCCGCCCCTGACCCCCTCTCCCAGCCAGTTATTAAACAGGTACCATCAGCCTGATCTTGAGGTAAGTACTTCCTGGCTTTCCTTTATAACTTACCCACTTTTAGATTTTCCTCTCACCTAGATGTGACCCATCTCCCTTACAGCCTGGAGCAGTGTCTAGCACATAGTTCAGGAACTTAAAAAATGTTGCTGAGGTGGGTAAACTTCTGAGGAATATTAATTTTACAGAGCAACCAGCAGTAGCAAATCAATTGTCAGCCTTTATGATACAAGGGGCAGAAAAAGTCAGGAGGAAGTGTGTTGGCTTTTCAATCTGTCAGCCCCCTCAAATCTTTTTAGACTCAACAGTATAAAGTCAAAAGAAAAAAAAAAGCAACAGCAATAATAACTACTATTGACTTAGAGTGCTTGCGTGGGCCCAACAGTGTTTTTCACACAGAATCTCATAAATAAAATCTAGAATAAGCGACAGAATAAAAAACCGGAAACAACACTTCTTGACTATTTGAATAATTCACTGATTCACCATCCATTCACTTACTTATTAAACATGCACTGAGCATTTTAGGGAGCACTGACATAGCCCCCGAGGTTCACGCCTTTGAGGAACTTAAACCCCAGCTGGGGAAGGCGGCGGGCCCGCAGCCCCTCCAGCCCGACCCCATGGCGCGGATTTCTTCCAAGCGCATCACAACCCGGCCGCGCTGCACGTCCGACCTCGGCCCCACGTGAACGGCTGGAGGCCCCTCCCACGGGGTCACAGAGCCTCCCCCAGCCTCGCACGTGTGACCTTGGCGGGTCGTCCCACACTCGCCGGGAACCCGCGGCGGACCTGCGCGCCGCCATCACGAGGTCACAACTGACCCACGCCCGGCTCCCTCCCCTGCAGACCGGAAGGCGCGTCGTGACGCGTTGTGCGCAGGCGCGACGTGCAGCGCGGCGCGCCCGGCCTCCGCCAGGGGGCGCTTCGGGCCGCTGGCGCTGTGGGGGAGGGGAGGCCGCCGCGCCGGGACCGGACCACGTGCGCACCACGTGGCGCCCCCGGGAGTCCCAGACCGCGGTAGGGCAGCTGGGCCGGCCACACTGGGGAGCCAGCAGCCCGCGAAGACGAAGGGGTGGGTCTCCCAGTCTGCGCTCCGCTGACCTCTGACCTCCGACCCCACTACCTTTAGGGTTACCCCTCGCCCGCGGCCGCGCTGTGTGTTTATAAACAGTGCTCTTGGCGGGGCCAAAACCCCGGAGTGCGGATTGACACTCGAGGGAGCGGAGCGTTCCGCGCATGCGCCATGCACCTTCGACGCGGCTCCTCCTGCGCTTGCGCACTGGCAGGCGGGGCGGGCCGCTGGGCTAGGGTGGGGTCGAGCGGCCGGGAAGGGGAGGGCGGCGGCCGGGAAGAGCCGGGCGGGGCGGCCGCACCCATGCCCGAGCTGTGGGTCCTGGGCAGGCCGCCTGGCTGCTCTGAGCCGGGTTCTCCCCGGTCAAGCGGGGCGCAGATGGGTGGTCGTGCGGGTGAAATGTTGACCTGCCCTGGCTGCTCTCCCTGGCCCGGGTTGCTCCTGGGCAGTCCCCACCTGGCGGATAGGGAGACCCTTCAGACTCACCAGTCAACCCCTGGCGATGAGTGGGCGAACAAAATGGGGTGTTTACATGCAGTGGAATACTGTTCAGCCTTAAAAAGCAACTAAGTAAATTGGTTATGTACATTTTTATCACAATAAAAAGAGAATGAAATTCTGATACATGCCATTACATGGATGAACCTTGAGGACGTTATGCTAAGTGAAATAAGCCAGTCACAAAAAGACAAATACTATGTGATTCCACTTATATGAAGTACTTAAAGTAGTCAAAACCACAGAGACAGAAAGTAGAATGGTGGGCGCCAGGGGCTGGGGAGGAATGGGGGCTAGTGTTTAATGGGGCAGAGTTTCAGTTTGGGAAGATGAAAAAGTTCTGGAGATGGATGGTGATGATGGCTGCACAGTAGTGTGAATGTTCTCAATGCCACTGAACCTTGCACTTAAAAATGGCTAAAATGGTAAATTGCATGTCATGTGTATTTTACCACACCTGTCATCAGATCATGTTATGCCTGACAATATCCTTTCCATGTTCTAAAGGGCCCCAGCCTCTCTCACCCCTGCCTATGGCATCTTGAACCCCTCCAGCTCCAATTAGCAGCCCCAATTAGTTTCTTACCTAGAACATACCATCCTCACCTCACAGCTTCTCCTTGCTGTTCTCTCTGACAGAAATGCTTTTCCTTCTCATCTTCTCTTGGCTGTTTCCCTCTCATGGATTCATTCGTGTAACAAACATTTATCCATGCTTACTTTATGCTAGGCCTTGTACAAGGAGCGGGGGATTAAAACAGGTAGGACTCTCCTCTTACAGACTTTATCTTCTGGCAGAGGCCGTAGTCAATAAAAACAAACAGAAAACTATCAGATGGTATTAAGTGCTGTAAAAACACGACGATGTGATATCGACAGAGGATTGGGGGGTCTAATCTAGATCAGGTGATCCTGAGGAGCTCGCTGAGGGGTGGCCGTTTGATCTGAGACCTGCAAGATAAGGAGACGGCCATGGAAGACTGGGCGTGGGGGAAATGGGAATTTTCCCGGGAGAGAGAGGACAGCTGGTGCAAGAAGCCGTGAGGCCTGAACCCTTGCGGTGTGTTTGGTGAACAGAAAAAAGCCCAGGGGGTAGGAGCATGCGAGAGAGTAATGGAGAGGTTTACAAACGAGGGCGGAGAGAGAGGTGCTCTCATTCCTATAACTATGGAGCAGTGTCCCTCAAACCTGCTAGTGTAAAGCAATTGTTTTACTTCGCTTACAATTGGGTGGATCAGGAGGTCGTTCAGGGCTCAGCGAGGCAGTTCTTGCTTGAGGTCTCGTGCGGTGACCAGCAGATGTTGGTGGGGTGCGGGCATCCACGTGGGTTCACTCACGTGGCTGGCAGGTGGTGCCACCTGTCAGCTAGGAGCTCAGCCAGGCTGGGCTGTGTGCCCACCTGTGCCTTCTCCAGTCTGGTGGCCTCAGGGTAGTTCGATTTTTTGCATGACAAGGCCCCCCAGAGAACCAGGTGGAAACTCCGTGGCCTTTTAGGACTTATCCTCAAAAGCCAGAAGTCCGAATTTTCTCGTATGTTGTGGGTGGGAGCAATCAGAAACCTGCCTGGATTCACGGAGAGGGGACACAGACCCACCTCGCAAGGGGAGGAGCGTCAATGATTTTTGGAGCCATGTTTTAAAATCACAACAAGGTGATCTTAGCTCTTTTTACAGGTGGAGATAGTGTTGCTTCCCGGTGGAGTGACCTGCCCGAGGTCACAGAGCAGAGAGGGGGCTGGGCCTGACTGACCCGGCCCTCTCTCCCACAGCTCTCCTGCCTGCCTCTGCTCCAGCCACATGGAAGGGAGGCCTCAGGCTGAGAGTTCTCATGACCTAGTTTTGGCTCAGACATCTGCTCAGAGAGGCCTTGTGGAACAATCCTGTTTGATGACCCTGTTTAATCGCCTTCCCAGCCCTTATCACTGTCTCAGATTATGGTTTATTGTTTGTCTTGCCCTCTCCCAGGAACCTTGTTTGTCTCATTCGCAGCTGCATTGCAGCGCCCAGCCCCGTCTGAGCTCACAGGAAGCATTCCATAAACCCTGTGGAAGGAATCTGTGGATTTAACTCAGCGTCACTCTGCAGAGTGCACTTGGTATCCCTCGCTGCCGCTTGTTGAGCGTGTATGACACGCCAAATACTTTATAGACATTAACTCGGTCCTCACAGCAACCATTAGACCCATTTTACAGAATGGGAAATAGAGGCTCTGGGAGAGAGTGCCCGGATTCAGGTCGCGAAAAGGATTGTTTGCCACCGACGATAGTCCTCTCCCCCATCTCCCCAACTTGTCACTGGCTAAAGAGGTGGGAAGTGCGAGGCTTTCATTAACTGTGGGGTCCCACTGGTACCATTGTGAGGAATTCTTATTAAAATATGTGTGTGTGTTTTACATCACAGCTCATCTCTTAAAGGAGCTCAGCAGGCTCATAGGGATAACGGAGCATCAGGGTAAACGCAGTTATTGGGTGGGAGAAGGAGGAATGGAGAAGAATGGGAAATAAGGACAAGGAAAAAGAGGCAATTTTATGATGACTGTTGTCTGGGGGAAGCAGTGTTGCTGTGTGCTTGGCAGTGAGGATGTTGCCAAGGGGACATGGCCTGGAGGACAGGCTGGCCACACCCTTTGGTGGCATCTCCCTTCCTCACTGGCACCCCTGGTTGATTTTGGAATGAAGACCCTCAGAGACTATAACTGCAGAGTGTCCACAGTGCTCCTTCACGGCTGGCCAGCAGGCCGTGGGTCCTGAGGGTCCTACAGGAAAAATCCCCCTCTGCGTACTGCATATGACTTATCCCCCTGCCAGCAGAGCCGTGGAACTGGCGGGGTCCTGGACACTGCTCGTCCTGAGTGCTGCGCAAAGATCTAGTAAGACACGTGGGAGCCAGCGTGTAACTGCGGATCCCAGACTTGAAGGCAATCTCTGCTGCAACTTAGCCATTAATGCCGCTTGTGACATTAGTTAGTGTAAGGGGAGACATCTTCATCGAAGCATCTGTTTTTAAAGTCTTTGTTTTTCCTTCCCACCAAATTGTAATTTGTTAAGAATTTCCAAACCTTATTTTGACTCATGTTCCTCCTGCTTTCCCCACCCCCCAAATTTGGAGAAAATTCATGAACACTTTCAATATCAATCTATATATATCTATTCCTGGAATATTATCCTTTCCTCTTCCTTTTTTTCTGGTTTTAGACATGAAAAGTATATTACACACACACACCAGACCAAGTACTGCTGGTCCTTGGACCACATTTTGATTCTCGAGCATCAACCATAGCATCAGACCATCAGCACCAGCATCTGGGATTTGCCAGAAATGTAGACTCTCAGGCCCCACCCCAGACTAGTGCCTTGGAATCTGCATTTTACAAGATCGCGGGTGCTTGCCAGGCACATCACCCTGGGAGAGGCTCTGGTCTAGGGCACGCCCTGTCTTGGCCCTGTGGTCTCCCCAGCTCACAGCGTTGGAGACGGGCAGCGGATGTCAGCACCGCACAGCAAAGGAAGAATACTGATGAGTGCACGCTTCTCTAAGGGCTCTGACCTTTCTCGTATCAAAAGCCCTGGTTACGAGGGTGATTTTGCGTTTCCTGGCAAGTTTGCTACAACTCTGATCATTCTGGAGAGCGCCCAGTGCCCTGGAGATGGCAGTGCAGGATGGGAATTGCCCGGGGCAGAGCCGAGAAAACCTGCAGTGGCTCCTCCCTGACTTCGCGCCATCGATCCGGGTGTAATCGTATGAACTGGCCTGCTGTTCCTTCGGTTCCTACCCTAAGCTCTGGTTTCCCAGATAAATCGGGAGCTCGAGTCAGCCCAGCACCCCTCCCTGAGCGATTCCCTAACAGGACAACTGGTGGGAGGCTCCTGGGAGAGCATTCATCTAATCATTCAGCCAGCATTTATTGATCGTCTACTGTGTGACAGGCAGCCTGCTAAGTGCTGGGGACACAGATCCAATGCAAAGAAAACAAATGGTGATTAAGCGTCACCCGAATACATGTAAACTATGAATAAGTGCTACCGAGGATAGCTTCCCAGCGCCCAAAACAGATGTAAGAAGGGGTTCTGACCTTGTCTAGGAGGCGAGATCTAAGGGATAAGTAGGTAGCAGACAGCTTGGCAGAGCAGGGTGGGCAGGAAGCACGCTTAGTGACTTTAAAACGAAAACATAGCTGTGCACGTCTGCACCAATGACAGAGTTCCTTATAGTTTCCCCTTCTCCCCGGTGACAAGCTAGTCTTAGCCAATCAAAGCTAGAGTTTACGGGACACTGTGTCACTCAGAAAGTGCCATAAGCTTTTCTGTAGGGATGGCTCCAAACTACGGGGAAATACCTGCCCTTGAAGTCATCAACAAATGCTCCCTGAGTGTGTATTCGTGCAAGATGGGGCTCTGGGAAGTCCACGTCATGCCAAGAAGCAATAGCCGGGCTCTTGTCTGCAAAGAATGGCTGATTTTATTGGAAAGGTTGGAAACGACTCATGAAAAGAAAGAGGACAGTGCAACGTGGTTTACAAAATGGCAAACAAGTGCTGGAGGGCGGGGGGTGCCGTTGGGAGTTCAGAGGAAACCATAAAAACAATGTTCTGACTTGCTAGCTAAATTAATGGAATTTCCCGCCTTAACTTCTGAAGGCAAATTGAAATGTTAGGAAGAGGCAGACGTTTCTGGTGCCAGACACTGACCACGCTCCTCAGCTAGACAGATGGGCTGGGTAGGGGCTTCTTCCCCGGGTGCATCGGGACCTGACTGCCTGGGTTCAAATCCCAGCATGACCTTCCTATGTGACCTGGGGGCTCCATTTCTTGTTGATGCCTGAGCTCTCTGAGTGGGGGTGAATCACAGGTCCTACCTTATAGATCTGGGCCAGTATTGAATGAGTGAATACATGTGAAATGTTGCACACGGTGCATAGTGAATAGTCAATCAACGTTAGATATTATGATTATCTGCCTCATTAACAGATCATGGAGGGCCTTGAATGGTTCACACTTCAAAAGGTGTGTCCAGATCTGGGGGGGAGGATCGAGGTCCTAAGAGTTAAAATGTTGTGAATTCGGGGGCTGCGTGGGGGTGCAGGGGCACTGTCTGGATGTGAGGACCTGGTTGCCATGGCCCTTGGAGAAAGGTGGAGGGGAAGCCATGCCACACCATCCCTTCACCAGCTGGAAAGACCAGGGAGGGGGCCCTGGAAAGAGGCCAAGGGGGTGGCACCTTGCTCATGTGCCATGAAAATTGACATGGGAATCGTGAGATGCAGATGCTCATTTGTAATGGACTGGATGTTTGCGTCCCTCCAAAATCCATGTGCTGAGACTCTAACCCCCAGTGTGGCTGTGTTTGGAGATGGGGCTTCTGAGAAAGCAACTGAGGTTAAATGAGCTCCTAAGGGTGGGAGCCTGATCCCGTAGGACTAGTGTCCTTATAAGAGGAGACATCAGAGAGCTTGCTGTTTCTCCCTCCCTGTCGTGTGCAGACATGGTGAGAAGGCAGCTGTTTGCAAGCTGGGAAGAGAGCTCTCACCAGAAATGGCCTCTGCCAGACTTGATCTGGGACTTCCAGCCTCCAGAATTGTGAGAAAATCAAGTTATGTTGTTTAAGCCCCCCAGGATTTTGTTATAGCAGCCTGAGCAGACTAATACAGCATTTAGAGCTTAGCTGGTGGCGTGGAAAGGGATTGTCATCTTCCAGTACCTACTGTGTGCCAGGCTGAAAGGCTCTGCATGGATGATTTTTTCTCAGCTCAGAGAGGCATGTTCTGAGCCTCCTCTTTCCCAGGTCTCTTCTTCACTTTGTAATTATGTATTCTTTGGCTTTTTTGCCCATTTAAATTGTCTATTTGTTTGTCGTCCATCTCTCCCCTAGAGAGTGAACACCATGAAGGCAAGGCTGCGTCCCCTGCACCCCCAGCCCCTGCAGAGTACTTGGCTCTAAAAGGTGCCCAGTGGCTGTTTGTCTGTGTGCTGGTGGGTCCAGGCACTTGATGTACATGAGAGGTCCTTCCTGAATCCTCACAACTCTGAGAAGAGGTGTCATCTGCCTTTTACAGATGAAGAACGAGGGTGAGGGAGGAGTGGAGTGCCTTGTCTCAAATGCATGCACCTGGACAGATGTGGCTGCAGATGGGAACCCAGTTATGACCGGCTGCAAAACCCTGTGCCTCCCACAGAACCAAACTGCCTTCAGAGGATGAGCTCAGCTGTTGACATGTTGATTTTGCCAATATGGCGGGCTTCTAGGTGGATGTGTCCAAAGGGTGCTTACAGATGTGAAGGATCTTAGAGCTGGAAGGGATTGTAGAAGACATCACTACACTGTTTCATCCAGGACTGGACTCTGGTCTTCATGTTCATGGAAGGCGGTCATCTAGGGGCTGCTTGAACATATCCAGTGATGGAGTTCCCCACCACGAGGATCTATCAGTTATTTTTTCAGAGACATTTCATTGCTTCTTAAGTTCTTCTTTGTCCTGAGCCAATATCTATTTCTCTGGTTAAAAAAAAAAAAAAGGAAAAAAGATAAACAGGACAGAGCCAAGAGGAGAACTATGAGGTCTGAAGACTTTTCTCTGGCTTGACGTCAGCCTATTAATCAAAACTTCGCATTTGGTCCTTCAGCCTCTTCTGAATCCAACTCACTTGACTGCCCTCAGCCCATATTTGTCTAATCCACCCATAGGAGCATCAGGGGAACCTCTGTCCAATGTTTGGCTAAAATCCAGGCACACAATCTCTTTAGTCTTCTCCTCTCAGAAAGGGGAGTGAGCTCCCTTTGGTGTGAAAGGTCTCTGTGGATCCAGGCGACCTCCTAAGACCATCCATTTGTGCCTTCTTCTCCCAGGGTTTGCAAGATTGTAGAATTTCTGCCCAGCCAGATGTTGAGTTCTGTAGCTTCCAGAATCTACCCTTCCTTGCTTTTTTGTAAAGTGGGACATCTGTTATCTCTCCTCTGCTGGCACCTTCCCACTCCTTGGGGCTCTCTGAGGATGGGCCCTACCTCTGTCACAGTCACTGTCCTGTTTGCTGCAGTGCCCCCAGAGCTGGCAAAGAGGAAGTGCTCAGTCACTGTGTTGATCTGCCCTGAACGGAACTGACTCCAATCCTGCAGTCTTGGTCACAAGTTTTGTCGTGTCTGTGATCCTCCTGATTTCCCAGATCCTAACCTGTCGCCTGCTTTAGTTATTCTTCAAAAAAATAGCATATTCTTTTTTGATAAAAATAGCATATGCCCATTAAGGATCCTAAAAAATAACCAAACAAAAATCATCCATAATTCAATACTCAAAGGTAATGAATGACTCCCAACATTTTCTTCTGGAGTTTTCGACTCGGATTTCCAACTGCCTGTAGAACATTTCCTTGGGGTGGCTCTAAAATATTTCAAGCTGTACCTGATCCGAGTCAACCTCGTCATCATCCCCCTCCACGCTGAGTTCCCTAGATTGGTAGTTAGCATCACCCAAGACAGAAGTCTTGCATTATTTGACCCCCAACATCCAATTATTCATCAAGACTCGCCCAGGCTTGCTCCCTGGAATATGGTTTCTCATCATTACCCTGGCTTCCCAGGACTCTAAGGCAGCCCCTTATCATTGCTTATCTGAATTATTGCAACAACATTCTTACTGATCTCCTAACCTTTAACCTCTCCTGCTGGGGCAAGCTAATCTCTACATTGCTGCCAAGATAAGACCATATTATCTGTCTACTCAAAAACCTTTAATGACACTCCATTTTCCACGGAAAAATTCAGCCTGATGTTCAAAGCTCCTTGTGCTTTGGTCCAAATCTCTGTCTTCATCCTCATCTTCTACTCAGATATCACCTCCTCCAGGAAGCCTTCCCTCTGATCTTGAGGGTCAAAAGTAACAATCCCCTTTCTCTGTTCTCCCATGGTACTTTGGTCAGGTATGTTGAACAGGTTTTAGCAAACATTTTTTGGTTTGTCATACATATAGATCTTGCTTCCTCTGCAGCCTGGGAACTCATGGATGCCGGGGACCGCTTCATTTATCTTTGTGTGACCTGAGGGAATCACAGTATTGTTCAGCTTGATTTCAGCATAGGATTCATCTGGGCACGGAAACTTGAACTCTTAAAGCAGAAATTTGCTGAGTATCACCTTACCTCTCTGGAAATTTGGTTTTCTCTTTTTAAAAGTTTTAAATGAATTTTTCTCTTTTAAAAATTTAATTTAAATTTTATGTATTTCAAGGTAAAAAATATATGTATTTCCCAGTTATCCATTCCCTCTGATTGTACTTGAGAATCGCCTATCCTTTCCCACTAGATGCAGTTCAGTGGAGGTGGTGGTGGTCGTGGTGGGTGTTTTATAACCAGGAGTCTGTCCTCCTCAAGCCAAAGGGGATCATATGACCCAGGCTAGACCCAACTGGATGCTTCTTCCTCTGGAAACTGAATCTGGGGCAAAGAGGGTAGAGGCTGAAAATGGGTGGCATTCTTTTCCATCCTCCCTGGTTCCTCTTGTGGGACTTTTTATCTTAGGATGATGTGGTAAAATTAGGCCCCCACCCCTTGTGGGGTTAGGTCACACTTAGATTTTTGAAAATTAGAGTGAGATGGAAATTCTGGGACTCCAAAGGGCTTTGCTATCCTTTTATTCCCTATTAAACACTATGTTAAGCCATATTTAGGTCTACCCCATAGTACTTCCAGCTCTCTGCCAGAGACAGGTTTCATCACTTGTCTAAACATCTTGGGCCTCTGAGCTGCCACAGCTCACCTGGTGGAGGTGTGGGCACAAGCAATCGCCTGCAGGGTACAGATGGTGGAGAAATCTTGCACGGTGGAGGACTGTGGGCACATCTGTTCATAGCTCTTGTTTTATTTGACACACGGAGAGGGTAAGTTTCTCTCTGGAAACATCGTAACACTAAGCAAGCAGAATCTCCAAAGAGGGGCTTTTAGAAGGCAAGTTTGTGGACTTCTGTGTTCTCTCTCTCTGTCTCAATCTATAGCTTGGCTTCCAGGAAAGGGTGTGGTTTGCTTTTGGATGCCAGGGACTGTTTATTAGCCCAGCTGCTCCTTTGAGAAGGAGAATCATGTGATGGGGATGAGGTCATCCATAACTTCATGTTATGGTTCTTGCTTCTTAACTCTTGAGCTGCCTAAATTCTTGCCCATTTCCAGTGCTGGTTCTCCAGATTCTTGTTGATCCTGAGAGCTCTGGATTGGTTAGGGATGTGTTGGCAGGCAGCAGCAAAAGTGTGGCTTAGATATCAGAGATAGGCAGCCCAGATCTGGTCTATGGCTGGCTCCGTGAGGTCACTATGTTCCAGACTCTTGATCTCTTTCTGCTCCAACCATCCTCAGCATGTGGCTTCCATCCTCAAGCTCACAAAATGGTCACCACTGTTATTGCAGCACCAGCCATCACATTGATATTCCATGTAGGAGAAACAAGGAAGGTCAAAAGGGTATTGCTAGCACAGTCAACCACTTAAAATTTTTTCCCCAGAATTCCAACCCAGTGAACTTCCATTTATATCTTATTTTTCATGACAATGTCACATGGCTACCCTTAGTTTAAAGGGAAACTGAGAAGTTTAGGTAACTGGACACATTCCTACCCTGACTAAAACCAGGCTTCTGTTAGGAAGGAAGAGGCAGAGAACGGACACTGGGTGGGCAAATCACGTTCTTTGCCTCAGCCCCCAACATCCTTCCTATGGCTTCTTTTTGCTTAGATTAGTTTGAATTACTTTCTGTGGCCTTCAACCAAAGAAGACTGACACCGTAACTTATTTTTTCTTCCTTATAAAAACAATGGATTCAGATTTATTGTGGGAAAAAGGGAAAATATATGTAAAAAAAAAAAAAGATCAAAATCACCTGTAATCCCACTACCCAGAGATAAATATCCTTAACAATATGTTCGTATTAATAAGTATTTTAGTAACTAGTGGTTTTCTAGCTCTCAAAAAAGAAACAAAATCTTAAAGGGATGTGCAGTGCACAAAATAGGTTAAATGGAGCTGCTTTGACTGATGCTGGAGTAGGGGGCCCAGATCCCTCCCAGTGAGCCCCTCCTCTTTTTGCTAAATTTTGCTTGGTTGGGAAACACCATTCTAAAGGACTGCCCATCGGCCACTGCATGGATACATCTAATGTATTTAATCAGTCCCCTATTGAGGAGCACTGAGGTTGCTGCCAGTTTTCCCCTGTTATAGATCAACTTTGTTATAGACAAACTCTCTGAACTTTTCTTTCCGGTTAGCCAGCCCTGGAGCGCATTTGCTGCCTTGGAGAAGGTGGCAGGACGAGGGGAGTTGAGTTGTTCTTCTTTGTCTGCCGTCTAGTGGCCTTGCACCAAAGAAGCCTATCCCTTTCTCCTCTCCTCTCATTCCCATCTTTAAAAGCACTAACATCTTTCAGTGTATCCCCTCCCAGGACACAGCCTGCCACGACATTGACACCTCTCATTTGATTTCATCCTAGGGTCTGTGCGAGGCTGACATGGCTGGGCTCTGTTCAGACTGGTTAGTGCCCAGGCAGGACTGGCTGTTCACCGTTTTTGTAAATAAGCAATCTAT